TCTTTCTTTTGACAAAACACATCTCTCTCCATCATCATGATAATTGGATAATATCATTTGTCTCGGTGCTTTTCATTTCTCCTCTTTCACATATTCCTAACCTAATGAACACACTAAAAAAAGATACTTATTATGCTTTCAAGAATCTAATAACTATCATACCTTCTAAAGTCTACCCTCTTTTATTATCTATTAATGCCTTTTGCCCAAGCTTCAACATCTACTTTGGATTCTTTGGCATCTGTAACGTAACGATGTTTCTTTTTAATTAAAATCAAAATTATTTATTAGTTAGGTAAGAATGTAATTAATTATAATTTCATCGTCAAAAAAATAAATAAATAAATTTTAAATCCTTACCAACAATTCATTTGGAGATGGTCGACCACTTACTTCCTTGATCAAACTAAATATGGGAGGAAAAAAAAAAAATCTAATTAAATATAATAACTTCTTAACTCCGATAAATAAAAAAATCCGAATAAACTGTTGAAATTTTCTCATGCGCCATATAATGATAATAAATTCTTCCACACACCATTTCTGAACGAAGTCATCAAAGTGTTCTGGGAATTCTCCAGCTGGTAGTTTTGGTGGGGCCTCATTTACAATGTGTTGCAAAAGTTCCAACACAGTCAATTGACTACCATCTGGTGGAAATGGAAATCGACCCATCGCCAATTCCATCAGAGTAATGCCAACCGACCAAACATCAGAACGAACACTATATGTAGCACCTTGAATACGTTCTGGCTAAAATTTTTGACGAACGAAAACAAATATCGAAATTATTAAATTATTAAAATATTTATAGAGGGAATACTACTTTCTAAATTATGATTAATCAACTAACCGACATATAATTTGATGTTCCTACAAAAGTATCGGCAATAGAATTAATCAATTGACCTGATACACCAAAATCACAAATCTTGATCTGTCCTTTTGAATTGACAAGAATATTGGAAGGTTTAACATCTTTATAATACCAATAATAATAATAATATTAATATTAGCATATTTTACAAAAATTTTTAATGATATATAATAATAGAGAATTACCTCTGTGAATGATCCTATGACTTTCATAAAGATAATTAAGGCCTTCTAAAACCTGTTAAACAAAATAAAATCTGATATAAATAATAAAATTATGAATCATCAAGAAAATTTAAACCAAAACATACTGCTATCGTGATTTTGCCAACTATTTCTAAAGGTATAGGTCCATTCTTTTTATAGATTTGATCAAGCGAACTAGGTTAATGAAATTATATAACAACGAAAAAGGTTCATATGAGTTATAAAAGAATATCATTCTGTTGAAATTTAAAAATTAATATCAACAAAAGAATCATGCATGTAATATTGAATTTATTTAAATATCAACACTTACCCAACATCCATATATTCCATACACATTGAAATGTCTGCATCGGACATGAATGCGCCATAAAATGATACAATATATCTTGAATTACAATCATGAAGAATTTGAAGTTCTCGAAGAATTTGTTTGCGAAGACTTGGATTTGCGTCAATATGAATAATCTGAAAAATGAATCGATTTAAGGAAAATAAAAAAGAAATTGTTCCAAATCAGAGAAATTTATTTCAAGAAATTTAAAAGGATTGGAAATATATCATCAAAGTCTGCCTTTTCTTAAGGTCATGGTTCGAAATAATTATCAAACGTAATTGGCTGACGTATGTAAAAATTAGCAAAAAAAAAAAATTTGGATCCAAACAAATCCTGAGTTTTTCTTAGTGTACTATACCTTTTTTGCCATCAAAGTCTTGGTGGTAATGTGCATAACTTGCGACACCGTACCACCATTGCCTGCTCCAAGTTCTTTCAAATGCTTCAAATCTTCAGATTTTAAATCCAATCTAAATTCCAACCCAACTTCAAGATCTGTAATACGTTGAGCCAGACCTTCTCTTGCATCGTCTGGACCAGTCTTTGTTGGTGACGAGACAACTGGAGAACTTTCAAGCTTTAGCTGTATATTTCGTTTTTTACGTATGGATCGAGTACCACCTTGTGGTATCATATTGTAGATCTTTTTATTTTCGTATTTGGGTTTGAAAAGTATGAAGAAAGAAGGAAATAACTAATACAATTAAACACAGATAGAAAGTAAATTATAAAAGAAAATTAAGGGGACGGTAAGAAAAAGAAAGAAAGATAGAAAAAGAAAAAAAGAATGCGGAGTAAAATTCTATTCTTTTACCTTCGTGTATGGTAGTGCAGGTGTTGTCTAAATCTCGAAGACAGCCTTTTTAAGCTTGATCTTAACATGTCGTATTACAATATTTTCTACTACAACTTTGAAGTTATCCAATAAAAACCTTTTATTAAACTTGTAATGGTAAATCAAATACTTTATCTTAGGAGCCAATTAAAATTGAATTTTTACTGTTTATCATAGAATAAAAAATCAAGTATTTTTTGTGTAAATGATCAACAACGGGCAAATTTAGAAGTAATAATCTATTAGATAAAGATTTTGAGTTATAGAACGTCCCAACCTCTTTCCTTACGAATACATATATAAGTTAGATACGAATCTCTTATTTCTAAATAAGAAGGCTTATCGATTACCATATTATTTTACAATATATCTGACTTATTTCCATTATTTAAAAAAATTTCTAAATAAGATGGCTTATACGATAGTTAAAGTGACTTTTATTTCCATTGATAAAACCTGTTTAAATAAAAGATTATCAGTAATTTTTTTTTTTTGATTATTTAACCCCATTTATAAAAAAAAAATACCTTTAATTTCAAATATTTTTTTTTATTATGAAAAATGTTAAGAGATTTTTTCCTTATAAAAAAAATATTAAATCCATATTTACAAGGCTGTGTATTTTGAAAATCATATTAAAATCAACTATTCTTTTTTTATGATTATAAACTAATTTATAATCTTTAAAAAAAATCTTGTAAACATCTTAATAATATTTTATAATATATATGACTTCTGACTGATTTACAAAAAGTTTATAATAAAAGAAATTACAGTAGTTTCAAACTTATTCCTAATGATTACTCAAAAATAATTTACTTAAAGATTAAAGTATTTTTATAAAATATCAAAACTCTAATCAAAGATTTTAATGTTAATAATATCATATTCTTAAAAGAAAAATTTATTGAATCACAGATAATACTCTATAAATATATAATTATTTTTCTTTAAAACATTTTTAATTTGCATTTTTTCTTCTTTTTTTATTAATTACAGTCTATTCTTAATATAGTGAATTTTAATATAACTAACCACATAATGCTTGACTAATTAAATATGTTAATTTCCCTCTTTATAATAAAATAACTAATTAAATCCTTTAAATTCTTCACTAATTTGCTATAATGAAATTGAGATGCAAAACTATTACTTCACTATATTAAGGGTAAATTATATATTTTATTTTTATAATCATATAGTAGTAATTATAAGTATCTGATCACTAATATTTTCTAAAATCAAGTAATAGCATTCTTTAAAAATTTTCTAATATTAAGTATAATACCAAAATTGATCATATGTAAAATTATAAGCTTATATAATATATAAATCAGAAATTAGATGAATGATATATTTGATTGTAAAATGTTGATATTTTTTAATAAATTAAACAAAATAGTTTTTTATATAAATTTCAATAACTAAAATAGAATTTCAAAATTATAGCTATTTTATATCTATTATAATAAGATTATAACCACCTTTAATATATTTAAAAATACTATTTAAATAAAGATTTTAGTAATAAATAAAAGTTATAATATCTGTTAAAAAGTTTATACTATGATGATTTTTTCAGATTTGTGATTTGATAAATCAATTTTTTTTTAGCAAAAATTTGATGTTAATTTTATATATAATTTTTATAAAAGAAATCTTTTGGCTTATATTTGTGAATTTTTTAGAAAGATACTTTAAAGTAAATTTAGCAAAAAGTTAATAATTACAAATATTATTTAAAAAATAAAAGAAAGAAAATAGTATTATTGAAATTCTTTAATTATCTATGTAATCTATCTAAAATTCTATAATAATTCCTAAAAATAAATATATTAAAAAAATTTTATATATCTAAGAATTTTAGGCATTAAATAATAAAAAAATGAAATTATTTATATAAAAAATGCATTTTTTTTGAAACATAAAATTTACCGATCATTTAACTTCTGAAATATATATAGTATAAATCTATAATTATATAGATTATCAAAGTTAGTATTAAACT